CGAGCTGCTCGCGGCCGGGGCGAAAAGCGGCGCCCTCAACGTGGGCAGCGCGATCAGTCATGCGCTCAGCCAGGGCCGAGTCCAGCACATCCTCCATCTCCTCATCTTCCAAGTCGTTGATAATCTCCGTCGCTACCTGGGCGGGCGCCGGGGGGGCGCGGGGGCGCCGCCGCTGCCATCGGGCTGCTCGCTGCAGTGAGGATGGGCGGGGGCTGCTGCCTCGGCGGGTTGCGGGGCTCCCGCGCCGCTGGCTGCCTTGGGCACGCCGCGCGGCGCTGCCGCCTTCGCCGCAAGGTCGCCGGCGGCGGCCTGGGCATCCGACGCCTGCCCCCAGCTCTCCAGCGTCCGCATGGCGGCCGCGACCTCAGGTGGGATGCTGCCGACCGCCGCCTAGAAACTCCCAGCCGAATCCATGAACAGCTTCCGCGCCCAGCGGATGTCGTGACGCTCTGCATAAGTGCCACCTGCGCTCGCTCCTCGGTGTGGGCTGCGCGTTCCAGCTGTATTCCCTCGAGCTCCTTCCGCGCCGCCAGGAGTGCCGCCTCGCGCGTCTCGACAGCTGCCTGTTTGGTCGCCGCGCGCCTGATCTCGGCGTCGATGGCACGCGGCCGCTCTCTGGGCGGCCTGGCTGCGCAGCGCGCCTCCGTGAGGGCGGTGGCCATCTGCTTGCGCTTCTCGAGGAGGCCCTGCATTGCCTCGTCCGTGGAGCCGTGGGCCTCCAGCTTGGCGACGAGCGGCCGCAGCACCTCTAGCCTATCGCCATCCTCTGCGTCGGAGGCTCCCGACCTACTTCGGACCAGCCACGCTGCGGGAGGCCGCCCGCTGCAGCGCAATGTTTTGGAGTCCCTTCACCTCGTGCCGCAGCGCTGCCACCGAGCTGACCTCGCGGCGGGCCTAGCGGGATGCCGAGCGCCGCCGCCCACGGCGGCCGCTCGGCTCCGCAGTCGCGGCAGGCCGTCTGCGTTGCCCAATTACCCGTGGCCCCGCGCGGGAACGGCCCTGGCTCTGTGCATTTCCTGCTCGGCTGGCCGTCGCCCTTGCTGCCGCCGCCTGCCGAAATCCCCCTGCCCAACGAGGGGCCGCGGCGTCTATCCAAGAAGCTGGCGCCCGCCGCGGGCCGCGCCAGGAGTTGCTCTCGCTGGCCCACGTCGCCAGCAGTAGCCGCGCCCGCTGCCGATTGCGGCGCGCGGTGTGGCGCCAGGTGGCCTCGCGCACCGCTGCGATAATGTCAGCGAGACAGAAGGCGCCCGCCTGGCTGGCGCACCCGAAGCCCTCGTGATGGTGATGCCGGTGATAATGGTGATGACGACGACGACGCGGCAGCGACAACGATGATGATCATGGAGGCGATGCTAATGATGATCATGAGGATGATGGCGATGATGATGATGATGATGAT